TATAGGTCAAGTGTCAGAGGGTGCGGAAGTAGAACCTTTTACCAATAATAGAACCAAGGCATGTCGTAAAATATGGTAGTCAGGACGCCGGGAAGACGCCTGTTTGAACTGGGTTGTTTACTGTGTTGCTATGTGCGGCCGTTCTTTTTCAATTCATTGAATAAATTTAAATGGAAATGTTGACGTAAGCGTACATAATGAGTATCGTCATGGTGAAACCTTGGTTGGTATGGTATACAGTACACCCAAGTAACAGTGCAGATCCGCACAACTTGCCTTGCATTGGTACTGAATTACTCAATTAGTTTAGTTTAAGCTGGTTAACTTACTTTACTACTCTTGATTTTTCGGTGTTTGCTTGTGCTAGTGCTTGCTTTAACGCTTAAATATTTTTTAAAATCGCATGACAGTGCTGTAGCAACGCTCAGTTTCGCAGCTAGTGTAGGTGACGTGTGGTTGTATTTAATATTCAATGAGGATTACAGGCGCTGACTAAGCTACTGCTGTTAAATGTTACTAATGCAGTCTCTGCACTTCTTATTATAGTGACTGCTTTATACAGAAGCTGTCTGCTTTTAGTATTCGACTATTATGTGTGTGTGTGTGTGTGTGTGTGTGTGAAACTGCAAAAAGAAGTAATGTCTGTACACCATTTACTGAACGTTAAATGCATTAAATTGAAACATATTGGCAACAAGAAGCAACCATACAAATTGACAACCAGATTGGAACTTTTCAAAACATTAAACAAGGCGTTAGACAGGGATGTGTATGGTCATCCAATTTATTCTATTCGTATAGTGAAATAATAATCAGAGCCATTCGTGATATGCAAGGAATATAGTTTGGGACATGATATTGTTTTGGTCACTGAAAAAGAAATAAAGCTGCAAGAAATGATGGACAAAGTTGTAACAGAAATTAAAACGAGGGTTTTAGTTTGCTTGAACAACAGAAAAATAGATATAATGTTGCAATAAAAATGGACCCTCCAAAATGCAACATCAAATAAAATGGGACAGTCCTCGAAGCAGCCATTCAAGTACTTTGGTACCCTGATAACAGCAGATGGAAGATGTTTTTAAAAAGTTAATTTTATCAGATTTAAAACAATGGCAAAATTTTACAAAATATTCTATGGAATCTTTCTTTTTAAGTTGAGATGAAAAAGAGCATTCTGAAGTATTATATAAATCATATATTGATAGAAGCTGTAGCTTGCTGATGACCCTAGACCACACAGGCCAACCCCACCTCTAAGTGGTGTATACAAGGAAACCATGGCCATGAGATCATAGGCCAATGGGGCTCTAGCTCGCCTGGGTTGTTGGACTTACCTAGGTCAGTTGTTGTTTTTTCTGTCTCTGACCTGTGACTGGTCCAGCAAGCCTGCAAGGGATTACTTTGATCACTTAAAGAAACATATGGAAGTATAAATGGACTGATCTAACAGCAGTGAACCAAGCAGTGTTAAAAAACATTGAGATAGACCAGAAATTTAAAAAAATAGGAATTTTGAACATCTCTCTACTACAGAAAAAAACCAAGAGGAACTTATAGAAATAATGGGAAAAATTAAAATAGGAATTATTGGAGTTTCAGACACCAAAATTAAAGAGAAAGGATGCAAAGAGATTCAACAAAATGCTACATGTTTATACTCTGGAGTCGAACAGCAGGCAGTGGCACAACATGGAGTAGAATTTATCATTGAATTATCATTAGGAAGAAGAATTTTTAAAATTAGCAATACATCAGAGAGAATCATAACAGTAAAAATGAAAGAACAAGACATTACAACATATGTACAGATATATGCACCATGCATTACAAGCAATAAAGAAGAGAAGAGTGAAGAGTTCTTTGAAGATGTCCATGACATATTAAATAAAGTTGAAAGTCAACTTCTTAATATACCATCCAGCACTACAGAGACTCAAGACACCAGTGGATGCCACTAAGGAACTGGAGCCTGACATACTCAAAGAAGAGATAAGAGAAGTCAGAGTTTCTCCAATGAACAAAGCACAGGACCAGGTGAAAAAACCAAATAAAGTAATTAAAGGAGTAAAAGAAGTGTGAATAGTATGGCTGCACAGGCAGGTTAACCATGAGAAAAAAATTGTGACTAGTAAACAAGCTCCAGTTCAGTGAAGCGCAACTAGTATTTAAGAAAGACATGTGATGTACAGATGCAATCTTTGTTCACAGACAACTTACAGAGAAATAATTTGACTTTCACTACACACTCAATTTAGCCTTTGTTGACCAAGAAAATATATTTTACTGAGTAGATAGGAACAAACTTTGGGGAATTTTAAAAAGTTATGGTGTAGACACAACCTAATAAACATATGTAAAACAACAATGAAGGTATCGATAGATCAAATGAAGGACACTTGGAACCATTCACCATAAAATCTGGATAGGTGGGCTGTGTCCTATCTCCCCAACCCTTCATAACTTACATTGATAACATCTGTAAAGAAACCAACCTGACTATACTTGTTTTACACCAAGGAGAAGAAGAACCAAAGACAAACAGTTTCATCAAAGAACTACTATTTGTGGACCACCAGTCACTAATTGCTACTATAGAAACAGAACTACCAGGCCATATAAATGATTGAAACCAAATTTACAAAGAGCATATCATAAAACTTGATGCTAACAAAATAGATCATTACCATAGCCAAAGTAGACAAAACAATGAATATCTAGCTTACATAAAACCCTCTGAAACAAACCAAAAACTTCAAATGCTTAGAAAGCATAATATCATCAGCCAGCAAAACAGAAGATGAGATTGATGACAGATATAACAGAGCAAACAAACTCACTGGGCAAAAGGCACCAATACTGAAAAACCAACATTTGTCATAGAAACCAAAAAAGTCACTCTGTGATGGAATCTTCTTGCCAACATGTGCTTTCAGTGCCAGAGTGAAAGCACAAGGGCAGCAAAAAAGAAAAGAACAAAATTACAACTGAAATGAGATTCCTATGAAGGGCTCTCAATATAACATTAAGAGATGAGATCAGGAATGATGAAATGAAAAGGAAAGTAGGAGGGGGGGGGGGTAGCGGAAGCTCTGGATTTCATTAGAAGACAACAGTTGAAACGGTCTGGCCATATAACGTGAATGTCAGTAAACAGTATACCACAGCAGGCAATGATGTACAGACCAGGTGGAAAACCAAAAAGAGGCCAACCATGCAAACAATGAACAGAGGGAAAAACAGTCCCTGGAAATCCCCATTTACTAAGCGCATGAATGGGCACTTTTCTGTAAATTATATTTCACCTCAACAACGCAAGGAACCTTAGGATCAAGATTAGATAATGAGACTGATAGAAGGAAGTGAATCAGGGACAGTTGGCCAATTAGCGAACAATTTAGTGGGAGCAGCTGAGATGTGGTTTTATAGATGAATCATGAGAATGGCCCGGACGTATATACAAAGTGTAATTATACACTTGAAAGAAATTAACTCATGAAGAGAACTGATTACCCACATCAGAAGGAGACAGTTGACATTCTTTGGTCATATCATGAGATGTAGAAAACATAAGTACAATGTGACAGTGAGAAAGTAGCAGTACCTTTAGATAACGTCGCTCTCATCATGGTCTTCCGGAAAGAAACTCGGTCTCTTGCCAGCTTTCCCACCTCATGTACTTTCATATTCAAGGAGTCACTTATATCCTGTGCCCATCTTCATATTGGTCAGCCCCTGCCCTTCCATCCAGGTACCATGCCTTCTGCTATTATTTTTTCCAATCCATCATGGTGCTTGATGTGGCCAAAATATTTCAGCTTCTAAGACAAGATGCTGTTTATTATCCAGTCTTCCTTGATGCTCAAATCTTTTAAAATGTCAGTATTTCTTCTCTAGTTATGATCTACTGATTTATATTTCATCTAGTGCTAAAAGCAGAAACTAAAAGCACCACACCTTGATTGGTATTTTTGCGTACAATTATAGATCATCACATCATGTGTCAGTTAGTACTGCAGAATTAAAACGTTAACATACTAACTTATCAAGTGTATCTGCTACAAAACTATTGTAAATATAAACTACCTGCAGAAATGGAGTGTTTCATAATAATATGCTTGCATGCAACTTTATAATTATTTCTTTATTGTACTAATACACCCTATAATGAACCCTGCTAAGGGAGTTGTCAGTATAACATTCAGGCTTAGTTTTTAATGGGAGTCGCCGTGGCGAATGCGCTCCCTGGAGTAATGATCTTGAATTAAAGCTTGATGCTGACCAGACACCCATGTCAGGTCTACCGTATGATAGAATACTAATGAATTGGTAGTGTGAGTTTTTAAATAAGAATTCATTAAATATCTTTTTGCTGTTAACCATCTTTTAAAGTGATAAAATGTATATAGTAAAATAGAAGAGTGGTACCTCAACTGCTGAGCTGCTTTGCATATAAACCTTTCAATTCTAACCTTACATTATCTGTCCCCATGGAGGACGCAGTATATGTTTTTGTTATTTGAAAGTCCCACCCTGGCTGTTGTCAGGGGTCCTAATATAACTTAACTGTTGAACGGGTTGTTGGAACTTGCACCTGGGTGATTCTCACCTGAACAGTGGCACTTTGTGTGACCAGGTGTTTATTGCTTGTTGTATGGTCCTGGTGGGGTTGCCCGCCACTCACTCTTGAACTTTTGAAAATACAAGCTTTTTCTTATCCCATTTTGACATCTACATAGAACCTAGATTCAAGATGTGAACCATGATGCAATTCACATACGTGTGTGTTTGTTGTTACTATGTAGCATTTATCTGGAATATAATGCAAGGAGTGGTGAGTGCGATGAATACTGCACTATATATTTGCATTGCACATTATGGACAAACAGTTCAGATCGGCAGTTAAAAATTCTAATGTTTTTACTTTACAATATATTGTTTCAGTTATGTGACAGGGCTGATCATTTTGAATACAAGCTATCCTACATTTCCATTAAACCATGGGTTGTGGATCATCAAAGGAAGCTCCAAAGTTTAAGAATGATGACTACTACAACAGCAGCTATAACCAGGGCTATGATTACAGTAAACCGACTACCAAACCCGAAGAGCACCATCCAGACTGGAGAGAAGGCAACCTGCATTATGATGACAATGATTGGAAAGACAAAAACTATCCAAATTATCCTGCTGAATCATCCAACAAACATTCAGATGACACTGAAGATGAAACTCCCTTTGATGATGATGATGATGGAGTTACTGACCGAGGAACATACCAGAAAAATGAAACAGGACTGCTAACAAAAGTGCTAGATGCTCGCAGTAAATTTTTAGATGAAAAACCAGAAAAACGGCCGCAGATAACACCTGGTAAATTGTATGTTGATGATTCTTTTCCTCTGAAGACTGCAATAAAAGACAACAAAAATATTAGCTGGAAGCGACCAAAGGTATGAATATGAATTTATTGTTGGTAGTGTCAGAACTGTAATTAAATCTTTGTCAGAGTAAATTAACTTTTCTTTAATTTTCATATGATATTTTTTCAACACCTGTGAAAAATTCTGGGACAGAAAAAGTTTTTTAAGTATTTAGATTGATGACTTGGTGCATTTTATGGAAAATAGATTTTATATTTTAAAAAGAACAGATTAAATTGGGTAGTTATCATCACGTGAACACTAACCAGAATTATGAAACTGAAAAGGTTTCTTCTTCTTCTTCTTCTTCGCGTTCACCAGCTGTACGCTCTGGCGGAAAGTTCTGGTTGCTCGTCCATTACTGAACTGCAGTCCTGCTCCAGAACCTGAGTGTTGCGTGTGCATCAGTTTTACAGATCTCATTCTCTTGAATACAGACTGTTGGTTCCTTGCCTCTCCGGCAGATGCACTCCGACTTCAAAGGAAGCTCCCCAATTAGTCGACTCTTACGACGTGCTTTTGGGGAGGCAGTGGGTCTATTCTTGTTTTCCTCACAATGGGGCCCCGGAACCCACACAGGGAACTGAAAAGGTTTTAATGCTTTGACTTGGTGAAAAATACAGTCTTGCGTATAATGCAGTCTTTTGGTAATATCATCTCTGGTGATTCAGATGAAGGGTTAGTGTAAAGTTTTATTTGAATGTCACTTTATAATAAATCTACATGTGGCTTTAAACCATCTTTGGAAATAAGAATCTAGCTTTCAGGCATGCTTATAAAAGTAAAGTAAAGGACCCTTTCCCTGCCTTTGGGCGTATAGGGCATATAGGGCTAGACCTATATTTTATAGACCAACGGCACAAGATTGGTGATGTGGTCATCATCACGGCGGCCGCCTCTACTTCCTGGGACTGCACCCCGTACCCACTGAATGCTGGGTTGACCTGGGAGCCAAGGTCATTTTTAAAGAGAAGTCTGGCTCCGTCAGGGAGCAAACCCACGACCTTCCGATCCACAGCACGCATCTAGCCGCTCTGCCACGACAACTCCCAGCTATGCTTATAAGAATCTAGTTTTCAGCTAGTTTAGAAACAGATATATAGCTTTGTAAATAGCTTAAAAATAAGAATCTGGCCTTAAACAATGCTTAGGAAAAAGAATAGCTTTGGCTATGCTATAGATAGGTATATTGCTTTGAGTCAGCATTTTTGGCTTAGGCATTGCAAAGGTGCTTCATCATTCTGAAGTGCTTGGTTTAATCCAGTTTGCAGGTGATTTGGCAGTAGACTGCCTTGCAATGGTTTTGCAGGGGTATTGAGAGCTGACCATTCAGAGATAATTGCAAACTTTATTCTACCTTCTAACCCCTAATAGGGCATAGACCCTCAGCCAGCTCATGCCAAGTTGTTCTGTCCTATGGCAAACTACTGAACATAGAACTGCCTAATAAAATCATAAACAGCCAATAAATTAAAGGAATCATTTTGCAATATTCTTTAAAGAATATACCACTAACTTAAATAGCTGTGTACATAAATATAAGAATATAGCCTTGAACAATGCTTAGAAACAAAAATGTAGCTTTGAACTGAGACAAAAAACAAGCTTTCAGCTGTGTTTCAACAATGCTCAGAAAAATGCTTAAATACAATCATTTAGCCTTGAACAATGCTTTATTCATTTAGTTTATGATGCATTACTTGAACTCACTCTGCCATAATCAACTTTCCCCCGCAGTAAGATAACTGAAGTGAAGTACCCTTTCCAAGTCAATGGCACATTGGACATATATTGCTAGATGCATATTATTATAGACCACTAGCTGTACCCGGCCGCGCGTCGCTGTGGCATAGTTTGGCTAAATGGAAAAGAAAGAAAATAGAAATCGCACGTGTCTAATATGGTTATTGTCGCAATCATTGTCTGCTCAGATATAGAGATAGTCTTTGATTCCCCCCCCCCCCCACCACCACCACTAAATCCACCTTCTACTCTCTCCCTCATTAAAAGGTTTTTGGAAAAGAAAGACAATAGAAATCGCATGTGTCTAATATAGTTAATGCCGCAATCATTCTCTGCACAGATAAAGAGAAAGTCTGGTCTTCCAACTTTAGATTACGCACCATATAATTGTGTCTTTATATTAGTGGTTGTTTAAATGGTGTTATTAGCACAGTAACAAAAATGGTTATTTGGTTATCACATGCTAAAGGTGTGTGTATTTTTATAGGAGACGGAAGTAAAGATACAACTGTACTTGTAAGTAACAAAGTAAGTCGTAAAAAAATTAGAATAGCGGAGGGAGCGTTAGTAAAATATAAACAAATGAACTAATGAGAACTTTAAAATCATATGTTAGGCTCTTTAAGTTAACAATTTCAGTAATTACCCCTCCCCCCCCCTCCCCCATTTCTCCATCCACCGACTACTGCTTTCTCCCTCTTCGAAGGATTTGAAAATCATCACCTGGCGTTATTTTTTTTTTGTAACTGACATGACATCCCTGTCCATCCGGACTAAAATGGGGAGCAGGAATTGTAATAGGTAGTAAATGGGGCTAGTGTAATATTTACAACATCACCCTTCAAGTACCAGTACAACTACTACCACGACCACCACCACAATAGCTAAAATAATGTCACTCCTATCTGTTTTACCATCGGAGTAGACAGGGAGTCGTGAGCCAGAAGATTTGGCGCCGCATGACTAGTGCTATCGCCACGGACTGGTCAGGTTAAGATGTATAATTTCGCTCCCCGACAGAAGAACGCCATAACCTTACCAGTGGTCTTCGCATGAAAGCACTATGGTGTAACTGCCCAACCACAACTACTACTGCTGCTGCTACTTTGAGTGGGTAAGGCAGTTACTGTGACTTAAAGCTCTCTCAGTAAAGAGTGCGCCCCCCCCCCCTTCCACCAATTCACTGACTACTCTTTCCCTCATTGAAGTAGTTGGGGGAAAAAAAATTTGAAAAGCAATGAAAACAGAAAAAATACACCATAATTAGGAAATAAACGCTATGGTAAACAGCACAGCTTAAAATTCCAACGCAGATGAAAAAATTAAATCTAAATGAAAATAAATGGAAAGCTATGAAATTTCAGCGTAACCATGCAATTGAAAAGTTTAAAATGAAATCATAAGTATGCGAAATGGTCAAATTTAATTATCAACTGGTTTACCCACATACCTGTCCTTTTTAGTATCTAGTGCTATCGCCACGACAGTGCAGGTGAGGATTTTGTTTTGTCCCTGGTTAAAAAAAAAAAAGACTACTGCAGATTCGAACCCTGGTCTCCCGCACAGGAGCCCAGTGTTCTAACCATTTGACCAAGAAACCACTCACTCGGAACAGTGAAAAGATAACAAAACTATTTGAGAACACAACTCAAAACCGCAGGCAATTGTTTTCTCATAGACAGATATTCCAAAAATATTATTGAAATGGCACAATAGAAATGGCACATGTCTAACCCGGTTAATGTCGCAGTCATTGTCTGCGCAGACGTGGAGAGATAGTCCTTGATGCCCCCCCCCCCCCCTTTCCAATCCATTGGCTACTCTCCAACTCATCGAAGGTTGTTTGAAAAGACAGAAAATAGAAATCCTGTCTAATATGGTTATTGTGGCAATCATTGCCTGCACAGATATAGAGATAGTCTTGTTTGCTGTACCAGGGCCTACTCTATTTATTAGAGAAGGCATTGACTGTACGTATCTTGCCGGCAAATGGTGGAAGTCTTGCGTTCTGACTACGGCGCATGCGCATTTACTAACGTGGCTATAATTAAATGTCACTAAAAATGGAAATATTAGTTTCGAAGATTTTTCCCAAAATTGTGGTCACCTATCTCTAACAATGACAGGTTGAATTTCAAACCATGATGGGTGAACATCCAGTATTAAAACGAACATATCCTGAAAATTTCAGCTAAATCGGTTCAGTAGTTTCCCAGTCTATAGCTCATAAACAAACACACAAACATTGATTTTTATAAATATAGATTTGGCACTCTGTTCAACACATGTCAATCACTTTTACTTCTTATGACATTTTCTTGCTACTCATTTTAGGCTTGGTCATCATCTGAGAGCCAAGGTCAATTATAAAAAGTATGCATTAATATAAATTTAACCCAAGGCATTTAGGCCAGTAGGTAGACACCTAACCACTGTGTTCAGTCTTAACTCTTGCTACATCCAGTCATAAATAGTTAGGTCTGGATGGGTTAAAATTAGAGAAGCATGGGTCAAAAGAAGTTTTAGTTTAAAAATTTTGATAGAATGAGTTAATTTTAATGCCGAATGAGACACAGCAAGGTAAGTTTGGGAAACATCATGTAAGGAGCGATATGCAAATGCATGATAATTTGATTCCTACTGAATTTGTTTAAGCTCAAGAGACAAGAATCTAACATTGAACCATACTTATATATTGAAATCTAACTTGAAGTCATGTTTAGAGGTAAGAATTTAACTTTAAACCAGGCTTAATGTGCTGCTACTGAAGCAAAACAGATAATTTTGATCTGAAAGGAATTAAACAAAATGAATTAGACTTCTATTTGAAAAACCTGTGGATAAACAAAAATATAAACAACTTGCACAGAAGATCTTTAAAAACAATATTTTTAAAAATGATTTTGTTCATTACACCTCCTCTTTTTGCTAGTAAATAAATTTCTACTGCTGTATTATTACAGGATTTTTTGGAAAACCCCAAATTGTTTACAGAAGGAACCACACGTTTCGACATTGGACAAGGCACCGCTGGAACTTGCTGGTTTTTGGCTGTTCTTGCTGAGATTGCAGATAGAAAGGATCTCATAAAGCGGGTAAACACATTAATTAGAGAAATCATGTGTTAACCCTTTCACCTGAGAAAGCAGATTTTCTGACTTTTACAGGTTTTTGTATGATATGATGTCTTTGAGCAGTGCCCAGTATGCATATATAACAGCTTTTATACTGGCTGCAATAGCATAGTGTGTATACAGGGTGGGTATGATTAAACTGGGAAAAACACATTCTTGAAGTATTATTTGGGCTGAAAAAAACATTGATTAGTAGAAGGTAGGGGTGTCGGTGTCTGTGTCGTAGGCGTTGCAAACAAGCTTCGTAATGCCAGTGGGCCAGGTTTGATCCCAGCTGCGGGCCTTGCACGTTGCGTTGGTTTTGACAGGGGTATCGAGAAGCCGACCATACACTGGCACTGGCAAACTACTGGACGTAAATTTGCCTAGAAAAATGACAACAGCCAAAGAATTCTGGGGTTGGTTCTGCAAGTCCTGTAAAGGATACACAACTTATTTAATTTAGGGGTGTCATTATGGTGTCATAATAAAATTATGATGAAATCACTTTGCTCTCTGTGTATGTGCCAACAAATCCTAGTTTTCTTGGTCAAAGGGAAGAAAAGCAGTTATTTCTTTGCTCTATTTATATTTACTGATTTATATCCTTCATTTAAAAAAATATAAATAAATCACTTTTCATGCAAAATAATGGCCCTAACCATGAAAATTTCATCTTTGCTAGTGACTTGAAAGCCACGATGTTGCAGTAGCTACCCTAATAGACTTGCCTGTCTGCTCAGTGGTAATAGGTTTAAACCCCCCTGGATTATTTTTATAAAAATTGACCAGGACCCCGAATTTCCTCTGCTTTTTCATCTATTCCTCTAGTGTCTGAAGGTAGAGTTTACATCTGTCAAAAAGACCACTCTGTCAAATTTGTTGAGCTTTTATCTGTTCAGGGTAGAACATGCCATTAATATGAACCTGTTGGTATCATCATTATCATCAGGTGCCTTGCTGACTAGAGTGGGCGTTCATGCCTCTCCACAGTCTGCCATCTCCTGCAGAATGTATCAGTTCCTGTGCTGACACACCTCCATGCCATGCAACAAGACTGTCTGCTTAGCCTTTTGTTGTTTTTGTTAATGATGGTAGTTGTTTATCCCTCCATGGTGTCAACTGCTACTGAAATATTGCTGAATACATTTTGTGTGTGATGATCTACGCTAAGTTGATGATCTGCACAGAGTTCTGTCATCACAGCTGATTGTTTAGTTGATCTGTGCATTAGTGATCTATGACTCCCAAGTCTATACAGGCCTTATCAACCTGGAAGTTAGTGTCAGGTTTTTTTAAAAACTACTACACTGTGCGGATCCAAAACCATGGCTTATGTGTCAGAAGGCAAGTGTTTGGTTGGTGCAATAACTGTAAATATGACCTGTTAAAGCAGACTGGTACAGCAGTTACAGAAATGACTAGTTAAAGTTGCTAGCTACAGTCGAGTTTCATATTTTGCTCATTTTTGTCATTAGAATATGATTAAGTGTAGGGTGTTCTATAATATGTAACTGAGTCTAGATAACTTTTCAGCGACAGATTTTAAAAAAAAAAGGATATCTGACTTTTAGTGAACTAGCTCAACATATATTATCTGGTGTTTTGTTTGGCCCAGAGGTTTTTTCTTTGCATTGTATTTTGAAGATTGTGGGTTTGGTTTTAAATCCAAGAGGTTCATGCTTTGCATAGCCTCTTGCTAATGACTAGCCATTCTGTGAAGAAAGACTCAGCCATACAGGATCAAATCTGGTGCAATGAAGTTGATCCTCTTACCTTTGTTTGTTTGTTTGTTTTAATATCCAGAAGCCATGAGTTGTTAACCCTTAGGCTCGGTATTATGGATATCGCAACCTTTTGGCCTTGATTCCATTGTAAATACCGTAAATCTGGGAGAAATGTGGCTGTTGTGCCTACCCCCGGGAGTGAACCTGGACCACAAGAAGTTCGTCACCCGCTCACCGCGCAATCCGATTTAGCCAACTACGCTAGAGAGACCCGGGCGATCCTCTTACCTTTAAATACCATAACCTTTACCTTTAAAACATAATAGTTGTTCTACATGTTAATGTTCTTCTGTTTTATGAGCTGCTTCTCAGAAACTGTTTCTTTGATACTCATGAAGGTGAAGCTGTATATATTTTTTTTATCTTTCTAACTTTGTAAGTTTTTCAAACATGCTAATATGTCACTCTGTTACCATGGCTCCCATAATGATATTAGTTCAAATACAAACTGATTATAAAATAATTAAATAGAAGTTTTCAAAAATGATATTTTTTGTGTTTAATTTTTTCAACTTTATTGTCTGGACTAAAAAATTATCATATTTCAAATGTTTGCTGCATAAATACCAGATTGTATACGGTGTTTTCCATTTCACATTTTAGATTATACCAGAAGATGCATACTTCATTGACAATCCCAACAAATATGATGGTGTTTTCCATGCCCGTTTTTTCGATTTTGGCAAATGCAAAGATTTCTACACTGATGACTGTTTGCCAGTTATAAATGGAGATCAGTTGTGGGGTGCCCATTCTTCAACAGATTGTAATGAACTGTGGGTGGCACTCTGTGAGAAGGCCTTTGCTAAGTAAGTTGTCATAAGGAATTTTATGTGCTAGTTTCTAACTGACTGGTAGTCTTCTAGATAAATAACTGCTGAGTGAGCAGTTGTGGATGAGATAGGTTATGTCCTGCATTAGTGGGACATTCTTTGTAACTGATCTAGTAAGGTTTACCAGACTGAGAAAACATGAATGTGGAGAGATGAAAAAAGAGTTCAGAGAAAAAAAAAAGGAAATATAACAGAGCTAAAATAAAAGAGGATAGACTTCTTGGCAATAAAGTGTACAGATATTGGCTTTTGGAGTTGCCAGAGTAATTAAACACATAGAGCAATTATTGAGAAAGTCATGCTGCAAAAAACACACTGAACAATTGGAAAATGTTATTCAGTGTTCAGGATGCAGGAGCTATAAAAAAAGCTTTTCTTGGCCACATATGTGAAACAAGAGCCACAACACCTATAGATGGGTACAAAACAAACAATATAGAGAATGTGGTGTTTCATTGACTTAAGGGCAAGAAATAAAGACACAACAAGTTACATAATTTACAAGAAACAAATAGCAGACACATTTGAAATATGAACAGCAGTGCAGGAGGAATATATATTTCACCTTTATTATTCTTCTTAACTAATGGCTCGATTATGAAGAAACAACAGCTGCCACCGGAAATGAAAATCAGTAAGCCATGACTTTGCATTAACAATTAAATGAGTATGATCTGGCAGGTTTGGTGTGAAGCAATGGCTTGAATCATTACAGAAGTCCACTATGCATGAAGTCACCTTTATTTTCATTCTGGGAAATGCAGGTGTCGATGGAATGAAAGAACTGGCAGATTGGCTGGATCTGATATTACTACCAATGGTCACCCTACGATTCATGCTGATATTAATAATGCCCTTCGAGAAGTGGGAAGGATAGAGGACTTTGGGGGCAGTAAATCCACATCACTCGCCAGAATGATAGACAGGAGTTAAGATCGGCATAGCAAAAAATTAGATGCACGCCAGGCACATCAGAGGACTTGTTAATCAACATAGAACTGGTACTGTTAGCCACTGGATGCTGGGGTTCATACTGAGAGAAGGATCTGAGTACCTATGGATATGTCTGAAGTGCAGTGATAATAACCAATATATATTAATAAAGTAACAAAAAATCTACTGATCGGCACTCATAAAAAGAAGTAGAAAGATAGAAGAACACACTAGACAACATACAAATCGAAAGCTGTAGTTACCATGCTGGGAATTGAACCTGTCACCTCCAGACAGCATGTGCGCCTCACTATGGAAACAAGCTCACTAAGAACATGGTCGACTAGGCACCCCCAATAAAAGGTGTCTTATTGGCCATGTCTATCATACAGCTTGTTTATTTATGGGAATGATGATAATCCAACTAACTAAGAGCATTCAACATTTCCGTCCAGTCCCACAAACAGTTTCAGATGCAGGATAAATTAACACATTTAATGAGAAATTGCAACAATTAGGTCTAACAATTCGTATATGAAAGACAAAGATAATAAGAAGAAACCGAGCAAATGATAACTCTCTCTGTTGGATGAAATCCGAGAGTGCCAGAATCACATACCAGCTCAAGAAAAAAGCTAAACAAATTCCGATGAATTGAGAGATAAAATAAAAACACTGATGCCTAATAGTACATACAGACAGTGAGAAAATCTGAACTATAAAATCCTTGCACTGGATCCCACAGGGCCTAAGAAATGAAGAAAGACTGAAAACACTTTGAGAATAAAATAAGAGACAAAGTAAGGAAGACATGAAGTGAGTGCATGAGGTGGCAAAAGACATGAAGTGAGTGCATGAGGTGGCAAAAGACATGAAGTGAGTGCATGAGGTGGCAAAAGACATGAAGTGAGTGCATGAGGTGGCAAAAGACATGAAGTGAGTGCATGAGGTGGCAAAAGACATGAAGTGTGAGTGCATGAGGTGGCAAAAGACATGAAGTGAGTGCATGAGGTGGCAAAAGACATGAAGTGAGTGCATGAGGTGGCAAAAGACATGAAGTGAGTGCATGAGGTGGCAAAAGACATGAAGTGAGTGCATGAGGTGGCAAAAGACATGAAGTGAGTGCATGAGGTGGCAAAAGACATGAAGTGAGTGCATGAGGTGGCAAAAGACATGAAGTGAGTGCATGAGGTGGCAAAAGACATGAAGTGAGTGCATGAGGTGGCAAAAGACATGAAGTGAGTGCACAAAAGACATGAAGTGAGTGCATGAGGTGGCAAAAGACATGAAGTGAGTGCATGAGGTGGCAAAAGACATGAAGTGAGTGCATGAGGTGGCAAAAGACATGAAGTGAGTGCATGAGGTGGCAAAAGATATGAAGGCTTGGTACTAGTTGCTTGAGGCATATACTCTGCTGGAAATAAAGGGCAGAGGAAATAGACAGTATCCTTAAGATTAACAGTCAACACATAAAGCCTGCCTTTGTCATTGAATCTGCTACTTTAGGATCAAGTGAAAATATAACATACATTTTTTTATTATTATTTTAATTGCACTGTTATTTGTGAGGCTCGGAATGGTAAACAATTAATATGATAATGCACTATTGAATCTCTTTTGTTTCTAATCTAGAATGCATGGCTCCTATGATGCCATCTACGGTGGTCAGCCAGGAGAGGCTTACTATATGCTCACTGGTGGCATTTGTGAACGTATTGAGCTTGATGTCTATGATGATGATCAGAAGGAATTGGTTCTCTTCAACCGAACCAAAAATGCACTTGCTTCTGGTTGTCACTTATCATGTATTGTGCCAGTATGTTTCTATTCTCATTGTTTCTATTTAGGATTTTTTGTGGGGGTATGTGGTGGGGGAAATGGAGGACGGTGGGAATAAAGTAAAATCTATAAGCTGTGGGGTTTAGAAAAATGAAATAACTTAGAAATTAATCTTGAGGTCACGATAAAATAGAAGATTAAAAAAAAAAAATTAACTACAGCTAAAAAACAGTGCTATAGCATTAACTATGGGTGTTTATTATTACACCTTCACAAATTCCAGAGCATAGCATAATGAGGTCGAGTAACTAGTTCCCTTTCTCATCCTGTGTCCTTTCTAGACAGTTTATAAAATTTTAATGTGTGCCTATTTTATTCAGGAGAGTCAACCCTTACCCATACAGGACTGCAGTGTTACCCATACAGGACTGCAGTGTTACCCATACAGGACTGCAGTGTTACCCATACAGGACTGCAGTGTTACCTATACAGGACTGCAGTGTTACCTATACAGGACTGCAGTGTTAACCATACAGGACTGCAGTGTTAACCATACAGGACTGCAGTGTTACCCATACAGGACTGCAGTGTTACCCATACAGGACTGCAGTGTTACCCATACAGGACTGCAGTGTTACCCATACAGGACTGCAGTGTTACCTATACAGGACTGCAGTGTTACCTATACAGGACTGCAGTGTTAACCATACAGGACTGCAGTGTTACCTATACAGGACTGCAGTGTTACCTATACAGGACTGCAGTGTTAACCATACAGGACTGCAGTGTTACCCATACAGGACTGCAGTGTTCACTACTTGGTGTAGCTGTCATTGGTTGTCCTATTATAACATACTTTATAGACTAAAAGAGATTTCTCCTGTTGGTTTCCCATCTAAGATGTGACTCATGAAGTAACGGGGGAAGGGGAGGTTCAGGTCATCAGATAGTGACCTGGAGGGGGGAAGATACAAACTCCAGAGCTGTACTGCTGAGAACACTGAAATTCTGCTGCTGCTCAAGATGAGGCCGGACCACTGTTTTAGCAAACAAATGAACTACTCACTGCACCAATGCAGCTCCCATTAGGACTAAACAATAAAAAGAATAAACAAAGCTTTCAGAAATAACCATTGTGGCCACTGAAGGCTATTTCAAAGCAAATAAAAACAGTCAAAAATACTTTTGTGATCAGTTTTTTATGTCTGATTTGTAATTCCAACATACTGCTTTCGAAACTCACTGCTGGCTGCTTGGACTTTTATCATGGTATTTGGCATCGCAGGTTGACCCAGCCTAAAACAGGTACCAGGATTTATGTCCTGGGGAAGTAAAGATGGCTGGCGTAATGCTGACCACATTACCCACCTAGTGCTGATTGGTCTGTAAAAATATGGGAGCTCTTCCCTAATGCCTGATGCGACTAAAGGCGTAAAAAAAGGATCTTTACTTTACTTTACTTACATTTTCAACATGTGCATTTTTAATACATTTTGTAGTTTCAAAAAAGAAAACACAAGCAACTAATGGCACTGTTTATTGACTTCCATATTTCGTCAAAAAAAAGAAAACACAAGCAACAGGCGGCACTGTTTATTGCCTTGCACATTTGGTTTTATCTCATCATGTATACACTACAGAATTCAGCAAAAATTATCTGTCACACTCAAATTTAGCTACCTGTTTACAAGTGAAAACACAAGTTTACAGTCCTGTTACATGAGGAGATGTAGCAACATATGCCAAGCAATAAATTATGTAATCTGTTATTTGTGCATTGTTTAAATTTCCGATCGGGAACCATTGCTTTTACACCGCTTAATGTTTGTTCTATATTCTTTCTTCAGGATGAATGTGACAAATATAAAGGTCTTGTGGGTGGCCATGCATACTCTCTGACAGGTGTCTTTGAACACCCGGTAAGAAAACGATGATCTTCTTGTGCGTTTATTCAGTGAGGAAAATAATTATACAGTTAAAAAAATAATTTAAAATTGTAATCCACAGAATAAAAAAAAGTGGGATATGTCGTTTTTGCTTTGACATGATTATATAGCTGAATATTATTGTGAGAGTTTTTAAACCTGCAACAAACTGTGTTCACACATATCTGTTCTCACATCTGTATTTCATCATCATCCAGTGCAGAAATGTATTGCCACTATTGACCACAGGACGTTGTAAATGTGGAGAGGAGTATCTGTGCATCTATGGACAAGTCCAAGATGTCATGTGAATAAACCAAGGGATAACTGGAAATTCAGGTTTTCACCAGCACACACAACAAAATAAATAGGTTTAATCTGTGTATAAACACACAGGTAAACATAAGTTAAAAGGGACAAAAAGAAGTGGTTTAAATAACGAATTGTGGTAAAATGCATATTATTCACTTTTTTCTGAGGCTATATTAATCCATTTTCTTTTTATTGGGTATGGTGGTACTTGATCAAGTTTGTGTTGGGCACAAAATTACAGTAGAAGAAAAGAAGAAGAAAATTGACATTCTAAGGATCTGAACATCCCAGAAGATTGGCTAATATACTCAAATATTTGGGCCGTATTAAGAACTACAGCAAACTGGAAAATATAATAGCAGAAGGCATGATACCAGGAAGAAATGGCAGGGGCCGACCAACACAAAGATAGGCACATGATATAAGTGACTCCTTTGACATAAGGTGCATGAGGAGGGAGTGTTGGTGAGGGATTGAGTGTTTTTTTTTAAGCAGACTGATGAGAGTGACATTGTGCAAAGGACCTGCTACATGATGATGATGATATGCAGCAGAGCTGAAATAGCTGTGCCTTTAAATTTATATATGTAACCTAATCTTGGTATTCATTCACTAGTTTGATCCTTTCTGTGTGGTTTCATAAGACCTTCACATATCAATGCATGTATAGTTGTCTGCTCCAATATAATGAATAGGCAGGCCAAGGTTTTTATTTTTGGTAAATTGTTGGCTTCTCTCTATTATTGCCCCCCCCCCCCCCTCCCATGCCCAGCAATTAGGTTTAGTGTGTGGTGAAAAACTGTGAGCAGTGGATTTCATTTGGAATGCTTTTTAGCTGTGCCCAACCTTATTTGTCTTGTAAACTGCAGATTCATAAAATGGCATTTGGTCTTTTGCAACGTAACTGATGATGCCTTATGCAAAACTGTGGATCCATTTGTTGTTACTACTGCTTCCATTAATGATGAACTGCAATTATAATGGCATTATCATATTAGGTACCTTTACACCCCAGGACATTTCCCGGTATCTAGGTCAATTTGGTAAAAATCTGCCCTGATTCAGATGTGAACCCAAGACTTTTAGCTTCAAACAAACAAACAAAATGAAACCATAGTTGTTAATATTTTTTTTTAAACTTTGTGACCATCTAGAGTTAAATTCTTTAGGCTAGAAATAATATAGGTATTGTGTTGATTGAATTATGCTAAAAATCTATGTTATTTCACTAGAAAACCAACACAAGACTGATCAAAATAAGGAACCCATGGGGAGCAGGAGAATGGAAAGGTGACTGGAGTGATGGGTATGTTTTGCTTTGCTGTCTGTTCATTCTAACAATCCTTTTTAAATGAGAATGTAATTAAAGGCTGCTAGGCAGTATCATTTCTAAGAAACTCAGACACTTAAGCTGTATTAAAGCCAAAAAGGCTTTGAATAGAATAGCAATGGTGGGTATGGTTTGTGGAAGAAATGACAAATGATGGCCAGCACAGTGGTGGACACAGGATGTCAAGAACACACTGGACATGAACGTTCACGAGGTATCTACACTTTCCTGCCCAGCACATCTAATTTGATCAAACCTCTAATTAGTTGCCTTTTATGACATGCTTGTTAAGGGGCAGTAGAGCCTTAGAAATGGGGCCTTGTGACCCAAGGGTCTTTACCAAATGAAGTCAGATGGTGTGGATGCTGACTGGTCCTGTTGTGAACTGAACAACTGTTTGTTGAGACCATCCTTGCCTGCTTTCATTGTGACTAAGTTCACGCTTGATTCCCATTCCAGTGTCCATTACCAAGGATTCCTCAAGAGATATATTACTAAGCACCAAGAGATATATTACTAAGCACCAAGAGATATATTACTAAGCATCAAGAGATATATTACTAAGCACCAAGAGATATATTACTAAGCACCAAGAGATATATTACTAAGCACCAAGAGATATATTACTAAGCACCAAGAGATAGATTACTCATCACCAAGAGATATATTACTAAGCATCAAAAGATATATTACAAAGCACCAAGAGATATATTACTAAGCACCAAGAGATAGATTACTAATCACCAAGAGATATATTACTAAGCATCAAAAGATATATTACTAAGCACCAAGAGATATATTACTAAGCACCAAGAGATATATTACTAAGCACCAAGAGATATATACTAAAGAGATATTACTAAGCACAAAGAGATATACAAGCACCAAGAGATAATTACTAAGCACCAAAAAGAATATATATTATATACTAAGCACCAAAAGATATATTACTAAGCACCAAGAGATATATTACTAAGCACCAAGAGATATATTACTAAGCATCAAAAGATATATTACTAAGCACCAAGAGATATATTACTAAGCATCAAAAGATATATTACTAAGCACCAAGAGATATATTACTAAGCATCAAAAGATATATTACTAAGCATCAAAAGATATATTACTAAGCATCAAAAGATATATTACTAAGCACCAAGAGATATATTACTAAGCACCAAGAGATATATTACTAAGCATCAAAAGATATATTACTAAGCACCAAAAGATATATTACTAAGCACCAAGAGATATATTACTAAGCATCAAAAGATATATTACTAAGCACCAAAAGATATATTACTAAGCACCAAGAGATATATTACTAAGCATCAAAAGATATATTACTAAGCATCAAAAGATATATTACTAAGCACCAAAAGATATATTACTAAGCACCAAAAGATATATTACTAAGCACCAAGAGATATATTACTAAGTACCAAGAGATATATTACTAAGCACCAAGAGATATATTACTAAGCACCAAAAGATATATTACTAAGCACAAGAGATATATTAAAGCATAAATATATTACTAAGCATCAAAAGATATATTACTAAGCATCAAAAGATATATTACTAAGCATCAAAATTACTAAGCACCAAGAGATATATTACTAAGCACCAAGAGATATATTACTAAGCACCAAAAGATATATTACTAAGCACCAAGAGATATATTACTAAGCACCAAAAGATATATTACTAAGCACCAAGAGATATATTACTAAGCATCAAAAGATATATTACTAAGCACCAAGAGATATATTACTAAGCATCAAAAGATATATTACTAAGCACCAAAAGATATATTACTAAGCATCATATATACTAAGCATCAAAAGATATATTACTAAGCATCAAAAGATATATTACTAAGCACCAAAAGATATATTCTACTACTAAGCACCAAAAGAGATATTACTAAGCATATATTACCAAGCACCAAAAGATATATTACTAAGCACCAAGAGATATATTACTAAGCACCAAAAGATATATTACTAAGCATCAAAAGATATATTACTAAGCATCAAAAGACATATTACTAAGCATCAAAAGATATATTACTAAGCACCAAGATGTTATCTATTATTGATCACAAGAACATCCATTTATTCAGGATCCCCATCCTGATCCTTACCTTTGAATCCCAAGGAATGCATCATACATTCATATGTTCCTACGTAGAGGCCCAATGAACGCAAGATGTGCATATTTTACATCTCTCTTGACTACCCCGTGGGCCTCTGATTCAAAACCCCTTGGGACAAAGAGTTAAAAGATTCATTAGAGTATTATATAACATGGTCTTATACCCACAATAGTGCAGTGACCAACATGCTTGCCTGCCAGCCCTGTGGTTTATTTGTTCAAGTCGCCCTTCTAGTAAGGATTTATTTTAATTTGGTGTGTGCTGCCAGGTTAACTCTGCTAATATAGGTACCAGCAAATGTTCTGGGAGGTCTGGTGAGATATTGAATGCAGCACCCCATAAATGCCAGCTGGTCCATATAAACATGTGGAAATAACCAAATCTATTTAAATTAATAATGAAATGATAATGTTTTCATGTGCATATATATCAGACATATCAGTTGAGGGGCATAATGCACACAACCCTTGATATACTTATGACTGATGAGTTGGTTAGGATTGCTGAAAATGAAATAACATTAAAAGAAAAAATAGATTTGCTAGAACCACAAAGACAAAATAAAAGTCTTAGTCTGGACAGGAGAAAATCAGAACAGTAGTTATTACAAAGGAAAAAAATGTCTTCCAGGATGCAACTTTTGATGCCAATCAACACTGTCAGTAATCTTGGTACTTTGTAGTGGCAGACAGAAGAAGTTTTAAAGAAGTTAAAATTGTAGAAAAGCTCAGCTGAATGTGGCATTACATAAGATAATATTGTAAGCAACATATCTTTGTCATCTGTGGCAGGAGGAGGGTTTTTTAAAATACACACCACTGTGGTGTCTCTGGTGCAACCCAGAATGACCCACATAGCCGCGTTCTGTATGCGCTCTGGTTTGTCCATCTGACTCTTTGATACGGTAAGCAGTCCCAGGCCATAATCCACCATTGACAGGATCAGGTGCTGAAATAGTGTGAAAAGCATTCTCTGCTCTATGTCAATTGCAGCCATAGTCTTAAGTGCACTAAGTCCTTTTTGGCATCTCGTCACAACACTCTCCACATGGTCCTTAAATGACAGGCTCCTGTCAAATGTAATTCCTAGATACTTCAGTTTGCTCTCTCTGTTGACGTCTCTACCATCTATCGTGAGACTTGGGACAATAGTTTTAACGATTCTGTTGTCCAGAGAACACCACAAAACAGACGCCTTTTCCGGGTGAACGACAGCCCTCATTTCTGTACACCACTCAGTCCTCAGTCACTTTGTCTACTGTCCCTTGTAGCTCCCGAGCTGTTTGTTCCCTCCTTTCCCCCTGCCTATATGCAAGTATATCATCCGCAAAAGTCAGTATCCTTCCAACTCCTGGTGCTTCTAGGCTTGCCATCTTGCTCGTATACATGTTGAAGAGCACAGGCGAGATGGCGGATCCCTGTGGCAGTCCTGGGGCCAAAGTGCATGGTTCAGAGGTCCATGAGCCCAGTCAGAGAGCAACCCGACGTGAATACAGGACAGCTGCAACCCAATTCACCAGCCATGGATTGACCTCCTTCTCCCTCAGTGTAGTCATTAAGATGTCGTATCTCACTCTGTTATAAGCATCCTCGAGATCCAGTCCTACCGCCATAGTTTCCTGTCTGTTCTGGAACCCTTCATAGATGTCAAAAGCAAAAGTGGCCGTATTTGCCCAAGTGTCCTTTCCTGGCCTGTAACTTCCCAGACCTCTTGGGAGAAGCTTCCCCATTTCCAAAAATTCTTGTAACTTTACAGCAACTATCTTCTCCAAGACCTTACCAAATGTGTTTTGTAAGGTGATGATTCTAAAGCCACTAAGCTTTGAATGATCTTTAAAAGGTTTTGGTAGTGTGATTAGATAGCTGTGCACCCAGTCTTGCGGTACTGATGCTGTCTTAATACTCTGGTTAAAACAGTTGGCCATCTCTGCCAGGTCTACATCGCTCAAAGCCTTCATGTGACCATACCTGACACCATCAGGCCCTGGTGCAGTATCTTTTGCTTTTTTCAAAATTTGTTTGATATCTTTCACTCGTATCATGTCTTCATAATGCATATTCTTCAAGGTGCCAGCTAACTCCTTTCTAACTGCATCCCTGAAGTCTACATCATTATGATCTGTCTGAGCTATAAACCTTTGGAATAAAGCCTCCCCTTTCTCCTTGTCTGTTGTGACACGCACACCATCGTCTCTACAAATTGTTCTGACTGTCATTGGCCTATCTTTTCTTTGTATCTTCCTTTGCAGTTTCCAGAATTTCCCTAATGTTTTATCGCCTCCCATATCATTCACAAAAGTTTCCCACTTTGCTCTTTTGGCCTCTGCAGCACAGCGCTTGAAAATCTCCACCTTCTCTTTTTTCACATTCTCCGCCATTTCCACTTCCTCTCTTGAGCTTGAGGATGTCTGTCGTACTTTTTTTAGCTGCTTCACTGCGGCTCTCTTTGCCTTCCATGCCTGTTCTACTTTTGGAGTCCAACATGGGAGCTGTAGAAAATTAGTTCTGGCAGTTCTTTTGCATGCTCCCCGTCTGAGGCGTCCAAGTAGGTTGTTGGTCCACTTATACTGGAAGGTCCTGCATATTCTCCCAACCTTAACCTTACTAAGTTTAGAAATCAAGACTGAACATGTTAGGTGATCACTCCCATGGTCATTCAGGACAGTCCATTTAACATCTAAAACCGACGACTGAGAGACAAATGTCAAGTCAATGGCTGTGTCTACATCTCCAGACCTCATTGCCATTCTAGTCGGCCTCCCATCATTGATGCAGACCATATCGGAGTCAACCATGGCCTCTGCAAGAGCAATTCCTTGTCGGTTTTCTCCACTGCTGTCCCATTCTCTGTTCCTCGCATTGAAATCCCCACATATGAGTAACCTATCACCTGGTAACTCCTCCAATTCCTTGAGCCAGCTCCATTGTTCACTTCTGACAAAACAGTCTACCGTGGCATATATATTTATGAGGTTCCAACGTAAGCCACAAATTTCCACCTGTATCCCTTGAACCTCTCGTCCACTGTGGTTCCACTGGCTCAAGTCAAGCACCACATGCCTCACTCCCTCCTTCACCAACAGACATTGTCCATGTCTCTCCTGTCCAACAGGGTTTATATAACTGACGTACCCCGGGCAATGCTATCTGTCTGTATTTAGCTCCTGGAGCATGATGAATCAAAATAAAAAATCAACCTCTCCAGTACAGGACTTCTCTGCCTAGCACTCGGACAGTTCCAGTATCCTAATCTTACATGATTAAAGCTCAATCTCTCCGCTTTTCACCTTGTTCTCCTAGCACCCACCCTCCTATTTCTATGCCTTCTTCTCTCCCCATTCCCTCGTCGTCTCCTCCTCACTCCCTCTTCACTAACCGCTGAATAATGTGTCAAGCGCAGAGCACATGCCCTGTAGCTCCGGCGACGATTCTTATGTACATTTTAAAAATCCATTTTAAAAAAATAGAGTACTGCAGGAAATGACCGGTCGCCCAAGTATTGTCTGCCTGCTAGGGAAGGGGCAATGGATGTCCCGTAGGAGTCCATACGCCTGGTGCCGCCCCACACGCCAGCCAGACGTCCAACGTTCACGACCAGCTCACCCGTGGCCATCCAGTTCCTCAGCACGTTGGCCCACATTGAACTTGGGGGTTTAAATTCAGAGTTTGCCTTCTCCTAGATGGACTGCTGTGCAAAGCTAACGGGATCCATCTACCCGGACTTCTTCCAGAAAGAAGGCAACATTTTGCTAAATCCCATGGACATTAGGAAACTTTGTGCAGTCTTAAACATCTGCTGCACTGTGAAGCCCTTGTTGACAAGACTCTCCCTGAAGTTAAATACACTAGCTGATTTATTAAAAGGCTCCACCTTTGAATGGACACCACCCCAGGAAGGATAGTTACAAACTCCAGCACGCCTGTTGTTTCTACCACAGCCAGTGTAACCAACGAGGCAACAAGTAAAGAAACTTGATATCCTCGAGTATCCAGCGGTGAAAAACATTGCCGACATGTGTTTGAACTGGTAAGAGGTTTAATTTAAGCGATAAAAACCGATTGAATACGCACAGTTTTTGCCTTGAAAAAATCATGGTTGCTAGCCAGAAGATATGGAGTGGTTTATCATCATGGCATGGAGAAATATTTGTATTACAAATGATTGGTAACGCATAATATAGAAGGTCAGACCAATTCTGCATGTCATCATGTCTGTCCTCAACCTTTTGTCTGTACTGGCAGTTATTTGTGACACAAATGGTCCTCCATACCATGTTGCTAAACTAATATCTCTTATTTCTTTGATTAGCCTTTTCTTCTTTTCCCCCAAATTTCCTGTTGTCGAGACATACTCAAGTTTTCCCCTTCTCACTGTGATGTGCCCAAAGATTGTGGGTTGTCAACTTCTGATGCCTATAACCAGTTCTGTTTGTGAGTTACTAATAACACATTTTCATTTAACTGTTTAACTGACCACAGTGTTCTCATCATGCTTTAGGAAGAAAAAAAAATCTTTGGACCTACCACATTTCTCACTATTCTGCTGATTGTTGACTGTTTTTAGAGAATATAAAAAAAACTGTTTTATGGTCATGGGCATTTTCCATGCATGCCTGTAAGCATATTTGTTATATGGTGCTATGCTCTTTTGTTTATAGACAACATTATATCCACTGAGTGATGAAGTCGCTATATGGAAAACACTTTTACTTTTTGAAAAATTTCCTAGTCCCCACTTTAGGTTTTTCTTCAACCCGAGAGCTCAAGTCAGTTTTTAAAATATCTACCTTGATAGAGATTGAAATGTATAGACAACATGCTATTAGGTAAGCAATCTAACTACTGCATGACCACAGCTTTCTGTATTATGAAATGCCAAAACTACCATTTGTAAAGATGGGAACAACTTTTCTTGTTTGTAATTATTTGTTTACAGGAGTCCACAGTGGTCAGCTATTTCAAACAGTTCAGCATCACTTCCTAAAAAGGATGATGGAGAGTTTTATGTCTCACTCTCAGACTTCATGAAATATTTTTCACACACAGTCATTTGTTCCCAGACTCCAGATTCTGACTGTGATGGAAGACCAGATGCCCTCAGTAAGTCTGACTGTTCTTAGCTGAGCAGCAACTTTATTTCTATTTTATTTTTTTATTTTTTTTATAATTACCTTTTTCAATTATTATTTTCGTCCACTATTTTATTTAAAATTTTATTTTTTATTTTAATGCTAATATAATTGTTGTATCTGCAAAGCAAAATACAATAAGCATACTTCTCGTCCTTTTTAGGACAACATTTTTTGTTATTTGAAACCCTACTCTGGCTTTTTGCCAGGGGCCGCAATATAGCCTGGCCATAGATATGGCCTAAAGGCTGAACACGGTTTCTGGGACCTCTCCACAGTGATCCACACCCGCATGGTGGCACATTGTGTCATCAGGTGTTTATCGCTTGTGTGATGTCCTGGTGGGGTAGAAAGTCAGTCAGCCAGTCAGCAAAATACAAAGCAACATATAATTTGTCCACAAATAAGTTTCTAGACAGTAACAAAGCTAGACTGATAAATAAGTGATCTGATATTTTTCTTCTGCATTCATTGTTAAAATGGCAATTGGCAAATTATATTGTGGCTTATGGCTACACTGTGATATCTATACTTTTCTGTCCAAAACATCTAATTTAGCAAACTTCTGTTTAGTCAACTTTTACAATGGACTTATTGGGGCAATGAGTCAATTTTATTTTTGCTCTAAAATGGGGTCCAGAACTTACACAAGGTGTGGTAAGTTAAAGAAATGTAAAAGCACATACATTTTACTGCTTAACTTTTTTGTGTGTGTGCTCATTTTTGTAAATTGTGTACAAGGAATGCTCCCTGTGATACAAATCCTTTTTACAGAAAACTTGCATAACTTACTGAAAATGTTTAAAACAGAAGCATTTTAAAGATTTAGTTAGTCTTAGTTAATCTTTCCTCTTGGGCCTAGGGTGGCACATAGGGCAGAGGTCATAACTCTCCATGTCTGGCAGTTTGTTGCTATCTGCTTCAGGTCTTGGATGTTTGTTAGGCCCATGTTTGAGCCTTCTCTGATGATGGTTCTATGTAGAGTTTCTCTTGGTCTTCCTCGTTTTCTTTTCCCTTCCGTTGTCCATATGAGGGCTTGATAGGGTAGTCTTGTCTTATCCATTCTGAGTGTATGGTCGATGTAGTTCCAGCTGTGCTTTCTTATAAAACTGGATACATTGTCTTGCTTGGTCTCTTGTCTTATTTGTGTTTTGTATCTGAAATCTGTCCAGTGGAGATTTAGTATTCTTCTAAGACATTTTTTCTCAGAACTGTCTAATTTGTTTATCTAGAGCTACCGTTGCTTTCCAACTCTCGCATCTAAAAGTTAGCACTGGGATCACACTAGAGTTGAAGATCTTAAGTTTTGTGTGATTGCTGAGTGTCTATGACTTCCAGATGTTTGACAGTTTGTTAAAGGCACTAGATGCCAGTGTGATTCTAGATGATATTTCTGGTGTTGAGTACCCTATATTTGAGGAGTTGTATATTTTTTTTTTTTTTTTTCAGTATTAAAATCAACAAAATATACGTATGATGTCTTGGGATAGATTAGAATTTTTGTTACAAATACATATCATTTTCAGTTCCAGGTTCTTGGATTATGTTAAAATAAAAGTCTAAAAATGAAAAATATTTCACTGTCCATGGTTCTCCTAATATTTTGAAATTAAAATCTATAAATATAGAGCATTTTTAGTCTCACAGTACTTGGTTTATCTTAGAATGAAAGTCTACAGGCCTAATAGTAGTCTAATAGGTTGTCTTTTGCCATTATAGTTGCATACGATGCATTTTCTTATATCACTACCATCAGGAGTCTATACAGAATTGAAAAATCTGGTTAGTTACTTTTTGAAAACTTTATACATCAATATGACTTTTTTCTGCTAATACTGCCATATAAAGAAAAAAAAATTTTGGCAGGTATTTTATTATAAATCTGGTAATGTACATCATCACAGTAACAGCATTTTCAAATATTTCAGATCATGTGCTCAACATATATGGGGAATGGTATGGAAAAACTGCAGCAGGTTTTCATAACCGTTTGCAAAACCAACGATTTGCCTTCACCGTTACAGACAAAGGTAATATGTTTTTTTAAAAAAACAAAAAAATTTTTTTGTAACACTATATCATGGTAATGTGTGGTAATGTTTTAATATATTCTTTTTCTTCTCAGCATTCACTGGCTGTAAACTTTGGTGGAAAGTTCTGGTTGTTTGACCACTTCTGGACTGTGGTCTTTTTCCAGAATGTGTTTTGTGTGCAAATTTATTTTACTAGGCTTATTTATTATGCAGAAACACCCCTATTTATTCTATGGCTGCCATATTTTGATCTTCTGAAATTAGGACACTCCCTTATTTCCATCTTCCAAAATAAGGACACTTCTCCTAACATTAAATTCCATTTAAATTGTGTTCCATGTATATATATATTTTTTAGAAGATCTTCATTTTGTACAAAAATCCATATGAAATGTTTAAAATTAAATTTTATGAGTGAAATTGATATGACTGAATCAAAACTAAGATGATTTTTCGAATTGGTCATATAGGCATGGATAAAAAAAATAGTCTTTCTACCGTAACACTGTCTGCTGGAAAAGCTAAGAAAAACTTGTGCTATCTGTCATTTTCTCTCACCCTGGTCTTTGCAGCCAAGATAATTTCTTGAGGCATAACTTCTGGATGCTACCAAGCCATTCTAATTGGAGTTTGACAGTGTGGATGTTCTTAAGCATGCTCATTGAGTCTGTCAATATCAATGCATGAGTTGTTTGTACAGCCAAAATTGTTTCTTGAGGCAGGATTTTTGGATGCTGTCAACTCATTCTAGTCGAGGTTACCAGTTTGGATCTTCCTAAACATGTTTCCTTAGAAGCAATACCATCAATGCATGAACTGTTTTCAGTTCCACTAGCCATGCAAATGCCCCTGTGACAGCTGTTATCTCTATCATCATGCTAGAAATAGTCGAGCTGAATGCATGACTTTCCTTTGCCCATTCACCTGAGCCAGGTATGCCTTCTGGCCCCTTCCAGACTGCAGACTATGAATGACTGAACCACTTTAGGTGATGATGTCACCTGGTCTAGTGTGCTCCTCAATGAGGGCTCTTATTTCAGCATCAGCAACTGTTTGGCTCCATTCCCTGCAATATCTGCAATGCCTACCCAAGGTGATTATTACCTCAGTGTGCTCCTTTTTTTTTTTTTTTTTGTGATAAAGTGATTGAGCTCTTGAAGGGATACAGGCTTACTGTCTATTATAAACTGCTCTTTTTCTTTTTTTTTTTTTTTTTTTTTTTTTTTTTTTTTTTTTTTTTTTATATGTGTTTTTTTTTTTCAATTCAGTCCATTTATTGACTTAGTCACCTGGATTTGCCTTAAATTTTCTGTAAGTTGTTATGATGAATACCACAGTGGGTTTTTTTTTTGGTGTATTTTTTTAAACTCTGTTGTGACGTGTGTAAAAATTATATTTTTTAAAAAGAAAATGTGTATGTATATAAAACATGGCACACATTAATATTGACTTAGTCACCTGGATTTTGCCTTAATTCTCTTAATTTCTCAACTGACTGTACAACACTTTTATGCCACACTTGTCTAGACATGGACAGACACTTGTCTAGACTTGGACAGATGCATGTGAAGCAAGTCTACACTAAAATGTGAATTATTTCCTTTATATTTTACTTGTGTGGGTGCATGCGTGCGTGTGTGTATGTGGTGTGAGCATGCATGTGTGTGTGGGGTGTGTGTGTTTCTGAAAGAGAGTATATCTATGTGTGTGCCTTTGCATACATGCATGTGTAAAATTATATTTAAAAAGAAAATGTGTATGTATATAAACATACATACATACATACATACATACATACATACATACATACATACATACATACATACATCCATCCATCCATCCATCCATCCATCCATCCATCCATCCATCCACCCACCCACCCACCCACCCACCCACCCATCCATCCATCCATATATACATACATACATACATACATACGTACGTACGTAGATCCACGTACACACGCACATACGCACATACGTACATACATGTGTACATACATACATATCTACCTACCTGCCTGCCTGCATGTATGCATGCATACATACATTTATTTATTTCAGGACTAGTGGATAACAGTTACATGCCACTGGTTGTCCAAGTTATTCAGCAATGCAAGAATAGAAAAGCTGATAAAATTTCAATCAGATGTGATGTTTTCAAGGTAAGCAATATGTACCTAACATCACTGTTCCATCTCAGACATATTGTTTTGTTTGGTCAAATTACTCGTTGTCTTCCATTCTAAGGATTCCTTTGTGGCTGCACCCCTGACAACATGCTTTTCAGTTGCCATAATCTTCTCCAGACCATCTCATATTATTATGTGACCAGAAATGATGAAAGTCTCATCTTTGTATTGATGATTACCTGTTTGTTCATGTACCGCTTGCTGTACATGGATATTGCTCTACTTAGCTGTTCATTGGATTGTTTGTATTCTATGTAGACCATATCTCCAGGGTCCAAAATTTCTTTTTATAACATTCTTCAGCGTTCATGTTTCACAAGCATTCAACAGTAGGGACAGCATGTACCATCCTAAACCTAATTTTATGAAATCCATAAGCATGGATCTGTGACATCAGATGCTCGTTGTTTTCTAAAATACTGCCCAAACTTTACGGGTCACTGACTGAATTACAGTCTTTGCTAAGTTATTCTACATGTTATATCTATGTGACTTTTATATTTTACCATCTGTTGATATCTTTAATCCCAGATTATTCAGTCTCTGAATTTGTTTAAGATTTATCCTGTTTTGCTGTTATTATATTATTGTTACCTGTTTTTTTTGTTTTCTGCCAGAACTATAATTTGTGTTTTATTGTTGTTTAAATTTAGTTTCTAATTTAAACTTTTGCTGTACATCCACATCAACATCCACTAATGAAATATGTGCAGTAAGTAAGATCAAATGAGCCACATACATTAAGAGATATAAAGGATATGATGCAAGATCTATAATCCTGTAACACATCTCAGGGGCCAATATAAAAGCCCTAACCAGCATAAACTACACTAGCCCTGCAGCCCTAAATCCTCAGGGTCATGTCACCCCTCCTTCCCTTCCCCATCCTATACCACCCTTATAGGCAGTAAAGTCAGTAACACACAAGTGATTACATGGTGAGTGTTGAAGCAGCCATTTTTACATTCTCATTTTATGATGCTGTGTTACCCCTAAAACCAAGTGGGAAGCAACAGCATTAACACTAGTAGGGAGGACGTCAAAGATTACATGACCACTAGCATGGAGCAAATCTCTGACAGTCATCATCATGTTGCTGAAGTAAGAAGTATGCTTCAATGTGTGACCAGTGACCATGTGACACAAAGAATCAGCAAGATTAAATGCATAAAACTATTCAGCAAAAATCATTATCTGTTGAGGGTGACAGTTTTGAGAATGTAATTTCTACTTTCAGATTTACCTTATCCAGTGAGCTGATTGATATTATCTTGTTTCCCTTGTCATTCATAAGTGTTTGAGAATGTAATTTCTACTTTCAGATTTACCTCATCCAGTGAGCTGATTGATATTATCTTGTTTCCCTTGTCATTCATAAGTGTGTTCATTTTACTGCCTGGGGGGGGGGGGGGGGAGTTGTCACTGTTTTTTGTTTACTTTTGTATTCACTGTATATTAAACCTCATTTACCTGGCAGGCACGCACACGTATGTGCTTGCTTGTGCATGCATGTGTGTGTGTGCATGTGTCGTGATTTTTATGTCTTTACTGGTCATGTATTGTTTTGATTTGATCCAGACAGTATTAGATATTTATGTATTGTGCATCTTTGGCACATGGTTGCCGTTGAGTGAGAGACAGTACCTGCTTGTACATGTGTATGTACATAATTTTTGTCACTATCAGGTTTTGGCGAACAAAATTCAACCAAAGGGTCGCCAGATGGCGCTAGACAATCTGGGTAAAAATACAAATGTGTACACACCTGAACTACAAACAACGTACAGATTCAAGCTGAGACCTGGGCGTTATGTGATCATTGCATCAACTGCTGAAAAGGGTCAGGAGAAGGCTTTTTTACTACGTCTGTTCACACCATGTCCACTTGAAAATGTCAAGTAAGTCTTCATCAGTGATTTGCTGTAAAATTAGAATACTACCTGTACATCGAGTAGATTTAATTTCTCACATTCTTTTTCACAATTTATTCTGTGTGTAATTATAACTTATTTAATTAAATTTAGTTACATATGCAATGGAGTTGCCTATTACCTGAGATACAATGCATGCAACTCTCATAACACTTTAATCCATGCACACACTCAAGACAAACCCGTGAAAGAAGTTACTCAATTATTAGCATTTTATTGTTTGGAATAGAACATTATCAGACCCAAGGGAGGTTCCCACATCAAACTACCCCACCACAACCTGCCCAGGGGGTGCTTTAAAAACGCAGTCCTCTGGCTGCTTCCAGCATTCAGGTTTGAATAAATGCCCCTGGAGACAAGTGTCACTGAGTTCAAACATGAAAGTATAAAGCATGTGGCCTCGCTTCCTTATTCTATACACCGATTCATGTGAAAGCATCATTATAAATATGCTGTGTACCAGATGTATATTCTTTCCTGATATATGGAACTGACTCATAGACCATTGGCTGATTAAAGAAAAGTTTTGTGGAAGCTGCAGAGATAGGTTTTAAATATGAATGGAAAGCACACCCTGGACAAATGTGTCCTGTTCCAAACTTAGTCAAGAATGAAACCGACCATAGATAGACAAGAATTAAAAGTCTAGTAAAGATCCCTTTTCACGCCTTTAGGCGCATCGGGCATATGGGAAGAGCACCCATAATTTACAGACCATTTGGCATTAGGTGGGTAATGCGGTCAGCATTACGGCGGCCATCTTTATTTCCCTAGGAAACACCCATTATAGGCTGGGTCGACCTGTGATGCCCCATACCACGATAACAATCCATGAAGCCAGCAGTGGGTTTTGATCGCGGTACATTGGAATTGCGAGTCAGACTCGCAACACCTAAGCCACGGACACTGCAAAAGTAAAGATCCCTTTTCACGCCTTAGGCGCATCGGGCATATGGGAAGAGCACCCATATTTGTACAGACCAATTGGCACTCGGTGGGTAATGTGGTCAGCATTAAGCCAGCCATCTTTACTTCTCCAGGACAGCCATCCTGGTATCCATATTAGGCTAGGTTGACCTGCGATGCCCCATACAAGTTGGAATTACAAGTCGGACTCACAACGCCTAAGCCACGGATGCTGCTTAAAGATTTTTTGGCTGTTGTGGTTTTTCTATGCAAATTTATTTCCCCTAGTTTGCATTGCTTTCTGGATGGTCGGCTTCTCGATACCACTGTCGAAACCAATGCAAGGCGCCGAGCCTGCAGCTGGAATTGAACCTGGCACCCCGGCATTACAAAATCCATTCACAAAACCTAAGCCACAGACACTGACCTAGCTGAAACAGGCCATAACCTAAATTGACTAATACCTGAAGTTCTTGAAAGCGTTAACTTCTTGAGGAAGTGGGAAAGCATACAACCTGTGACTAAAACTCATGCACCCCCCTCCCCTTTCCCAGTTAACCAGTTAAAAAAGACCCTGTTTGAGGTTCTTCTTTGATGGTTCTTCAAGTTTATTCCCAGACAATTCTGCTTCTTTATGTGTTCAAAGTTGGTGATTTAATGTAGTCATTTGTATGCTTTATGTTTGTGTAGCTGATATCAGTGTAGACTAAAGTGAGATTAAAGTGTGCACGTAACTAGTGTTACACAGATATACTGACATGTGTAGAGTTATAGAATATAAGTGTGAGATGGTAGATTTTAATCAAGATCTTAAAACCATCATGGTTGGATCAGGAGGCGGCATTGTGGTCCAAGTGTAAGGCAGTGTGAGTTGGACTGCGGGACCCAGAAACAAATCAAGGAGGCATATTTATGTCCCAAAGACACCACCCTTTGGCAGTGACCTCTGACCTAGAAGTGAGAATCCTTGACATCTACCCACTAAGAGTAGGCTATCACCCCTTGGACATTAGGTCTACTGAGGAGAAGACTGGAGTACACTGTGATGTCGGGAAAGGTGGAGGAGGAAAAAGGGAGTGGGTGACCGAGAGAGAAGATGCTGAACGGTTTGGCATCATGGCATGGAAGATCATCTGTATCATAAAGGATTGAAAGTACGCAACATAGAAGGTTGTAGATAGACATAACTACCAACACCACATAGCACAGACTGTAAGAAAAGGAGACGTCATCATTCATGAGGAGCGGCTGGCAGAACAGTTTAGAACTCATACAAGAGACCAAAGTTCTTATTTTTAGAAAGGTTGCAGGGATTTTTTTGTTTCTGTCAGTGGCAAAAATAAAATTCTAACCTGCATAGTCCATGGTGACTATTCTAGCCTTGTTGCCCTAAATCCTTGGGCTCAGAGACCCCCACCCACCATTACCATCACATGGCATGGCATCTCTAAGGTTGTCATCACACTCCAAAGGTACTGCAGGGATCAAATTCCTGTGGCCATAGACACAGAAGTAAAAGAACTGATAGATCAGCATTCAGACCCAGAAGATATCATCATCTACACAGATGTATCTGTGAAGCTCATATCAAGGTCAGCATGGGCATTTACAGCGCAAAAAAAAGGGAAAACAATACAGGAGGACATCAGCGCTTACCAGAAAACCACGTCAAGCATGACCATGGAAATAGCCACTGCTTCTAGAGAATTAGCATGGGTATCCGAGCAAACTGCCACACAGGCAGTTATTGTATCAGACTCCATGAATATGCTTCAGAAGATAGCAACAGGTGGTATTCGCTCTAAATGGGTAGATAGCATTTGAAAATTGTACTTAACCTCCCTCACCTGGATCTACACTTCGGGTCATGTGGACGCAGAGGGAAATGAGCAAGCGGACCAACTAGCAAGCATTGCACTGAGGATTGCGGGAAAAAGCTTGGACAGAGCAGATATCATCAACGCTGTACGGACTGGGCTAGTGGATAATGAGGAATCCCTGACACTAACATGATTGTGTGACATGGGAGTAAAACATGGTAAAGCACGTCTATGCCCTCTTTAAAGCCTAGATAGGAAACAATATAACCAGCTTCTCATGAGGACAATAAGTAGAAGTACTTTGGAGTGACTGCTGCATCGGAAGACTGAGCACGCATGGGAAAGCCCAGTGTGCAGTGACTTCGATTGTGATAACATAACTACCATCAAAAAAGTGGTAAATACAGGCAGTAATGGAATTCTTTTTTGACAGTGGTTTGAAGAGGGGGGCGGGGGGGTGTCCAGTCATGAACCCTAAACTTCTATATTTGCTGAGGAAGACGAAGCACTTGTATAAAGTTACATGCACCATATCACTGTTATAAAATAACCAATTATCAGTATTTCCTCAACTTGTTATTTTTGTCAGAGAAATTCCACAGAAAGCAAATGTGGTTGCCTGTGAAAGTGAAAACAGTGTGGATGTCAGAGGAAGGACTTACAATTTAAGTGAGTATTCTTTTTAAGAACATGGCACTAAAGCATTTTTGCAAATAATTATACTAAAGTATGAACATAACTTTCATGTACTTCTCATCATTCTTACTCAAAATTAAAACACTGAGCTGTTGATTTATTTAAGAATGTTATCTACCTTACATGAAGCACTCTACTGGCATAGTGGTTAATCCACATTTTTTGCCAGGCCAGTGGTCCTTTATTTAAATTTTTTTTTCAGATAGATGTATTCATGCCTCATGGCTTCAGAGTCAAACCAGCCACATTTATGTAGAATATTCAACACATTTATGTAGAACATTCAACACATTTATGTAGAATATTCAACACATTTATGTACAACATTCAACACATTTATGTACAACATTCAACACATTTATGTACAACATTCAACACATTTATGTACAACATTCAACACATTTATGTACAACATTCAACACATTTATACAGGGAGCCATGGTAACATAGTGGCTAGATACTCGCCTGCTGATCCAATGGTTTTGGATTTGAATCTGCACTGCCTAATTAAAAATTTTTTTATAAATCTCATCTTCCAGGGGGAGGCAGCCTAAAATGTGCACCAAATGACCTAGGAAGTTAAGGCAGCCAGCAAGGTGTTCACACCCTCACCCTTTAAATGTTGACTGTATAACATGTGAATCTAGCATTATATTTTTCATGTGCCACTGGCATTAAAAAAGGCATCCTTTACTTACTTTTGCATTTTTTTTTTTTTTCAGCATTTCAGAAAGTGCTTTTTGGAGAATTCATCATTGGACGTAATGCTGGAGGGCAAGTAAGAAACCGAGCCAGCTACCATACAAATCCACAGTATCTCATTAGCATCCGTGACACAGGTTAGCTTATTTTTGCATTATGTTGTTGCCGTAGGTTTTTGTTATTGCATTAATTTGTTACTGCTGTCTTTTTTTTCATTATAACTGTGTTCATTATTTATTTAGTTTCTCCAGCAATGTTAATAGGTGTTGTATATGGAGTTGACATTCTCATGCTGTTGCACTTTAGCACTTGCAAGAAACTGCATTTTGTCAAACAAAACAAAACTAAATGCATCCTTAGTGAAATACTGATCTGGTTAATTAAAAAACATTTTGTTTCCAGTTCAATTAGGTGGTAACTCACAAAGTAATTATACAACTGTTATATAGTTGGTGGTGGTATCAGAAATAAGGTTCTGCTTCTTGCTCTTCTGGCTACCTTGACCATAAACACATCATGCTGTTGTAGAGTTTCTCTGATGTTATCTTTCCAATTTGTTTCTGGTCTATATTGTGCTCTACGTTCTTTTCTTCTTTTGGTGTATGCTTTATAAGGTAAGGGAGGTCCAAGGCATTCCGTCTAAGTGGAAAAACCATTTCATTTTCTGTTTTTGTATGTAATTTAGAATTGGTTCTGTGTCAAATTTTTCTGTTTTGACATCATTCCTCATTTTTTCTTTTCAGGTTATTCCTGCAACCCTTCTCAGACATCTCAATTCCTTGGTTACTAGTTTGCTTTCTGATTTGTTGTGAGTGACCATGTCTGGCACTGGTAGCATAGGGTGGGAATGGATATGCTTTGTATGAGATGTTTCTTTGCGTTGATCAGGATTGTTTTCTGCTGCAAGAAGACAGCTAGCTGTCCCAATACTTGGTTTGCTTTACTACCTCTGATGTTAATTTCTTCATCCAATTTCCCATCTTCAGTGAATATTGTTCTCAGATATTTAAACTTAGATGCTTGAACACTCTACTGCTATATTTAGGTTCTACTTCTTTCTTCCTATTGACATTACTTCTGCTTTTTCAGAGTTTATTCTTTTTTTTACATTTATTCTTTTTACATTCTTTACTTATAGATGCTATGTGTAGTTGCAAATTTATGAAGAGCGACTGACAAGTCATATTTCTAGCCAGAAGTAAAATCAGGATAAATGAAGATAAATGTTGTGTTACTTAGTGCAGAGTTATTTAATTAATAACAATAAATTTATGTTTTATTTTAATATACACATGTGTGAAAGCATATTGTATTATTCTCTGTCAGAAACTCCACTTGTCATTCAAGTCATGCAGGCTCTGTCGGAACCTCTGTATCCAATTGGTGTCAGGATCTTCCAGGTAGATAATTATTTTACTATGTTCTGAGATTAGGATGAGAAAGAAATCGTCATGTTTATGTAAAAACAATTTCCCTTCCAGGAAAGGGGGAATAGATCCGCAGCTCCTTTACAAGTATGCCATAAAAGGCCCATAATTAAGGATTCACTGAAAGATGTGTTGGGTCAAAAGTCGCAGATATCATAGCTTAGTTGTAAATCACAACATGCCAACCACTCTTTTATGGGCTAACACAAAAGAAAAGGCAAGGACAGCTGTGTGGCTTAATGAGAACACAGAGGATATGTGAGTTATCACCTGCACCAGCACATGATGATAAATCACTAGGTTAGACATTATCGCAAGAGTTCAAAAGTCAAAACTAGTGGATTATCAAGTTTTTGTCTAACATTGTTTAGATTTTAAGGAGAAATCTTTGACAACGTTCTAGTCACCATAAATCTGCCAAACAGTAAAAGCCATCTCACTTCTGAGTACTCATAAACTGAAGAGCTGATCAACTGGCCAGAGGAAGTGCAACAAAAGAACATCTGGATGCAGTAATTTACTATAAAAATAAAAGAATGATCATATACAACAAAAAAGCCACACAATTTATAGTCTAAACATTAAGGACAATATGAGGCAAAACTTCTAGCCAAGAGAAACACCGGTGCGAGCCAAACTTTACAGGTTGCTGAGTGAATTACAAAAAAACAGTGAAGTTCATACTACAGACAACTTTGCATATATAGATAATCTTTTTTCAAGCAAATGAAAGAAGAAGAAAAATATGGCCAGACAAGAACAAGTGATTATCCTGGTTCTCCAAACATGGCAGAGTGAGTTACGTAGCTACGCGTATACAAAATTTTTAAATGGCACCTGTGAATGTGTGCACCAGACAGCAACACACATACTCAATACTGTTCATCATGCCATAAATGAAGGCAAACCATTTGGCCTAGAGAAACAACAGTGGAAACTAAATTAAATGGACCATTTAGTGAACAATTAAAAAAAAAGTGACGATCAAACAGATACACTGCAGATGTATATAATCTATTTCAAGTGATTGGAAGATAGAGCTACATATACTTTCTAATGAATAAACAGTCAGCCTGATACAACATACAGAAATTACAACCTGATAGTTTATGAAGGCTCTGTGATTGTCATGTTTATGTAAGAACTACTTCCCATCCAGGAGAAAGGTGGGGGGGGGGGGAATAGATCCACAGCTGTATGCCATAAAAGGCCCCTAATTAGGGATTCGCTGAAATGGGATGTGTTGGGTCAAAAGTTGTGGAATAGAGCCACAGCTCCTTAATAAGTGTGCCATAAAAGGCTCAAGATTACATTGCAACTTCAAAGGCTAGCATCGTCCTTATATTGTTTCTTTTTTTCTAAACAAATTCTTCACGTTACAGTAAAATTTGCAAATTCCCTCATGTTTGAACATGTCTATCACTGATTTGGATTTTTCTTCAGACTCGAACCTCTCTGTTTATGTCCTGTAGACTCTTTCTTGCTGCTGAACAGTATTTCTTCAGCTCTAGTCTTCTCTTCTTTCAACATTCAGAAGCCAGCTTTCTCTTTGTACTTATTTTGTATTTTCTTTAAAGCCCCTATCTATTTAATTTTTCTCTTCTTCTTCTCTTCTTCTTCTTCACTTCCTCTTTTACCGCTGTGGGTGTCGAGGGAGATATAAGGTTCTGTTTCTAGCTCTTCTGGCTGCCTCGACCATAGGCACATCATGCTGTTGTAGAGTTTCTCTGATGTTATCCTTCCATCTTGTTCTTGGTCTACCTCGTGCTCTACGTCCTTCTTCTCTTTCCATGTATGCTTTGTATGGTATAATGTCACAAGGCATTCTCTGTAAGTGGGCAAACCATTTCACTTGCTGTCTTTGTATGTAATCCAGAATTGGTTCTGTGCCGACTTGTTCTCTTATGATCTCATTCCTGATCTTATCTCTTATGGTCACTCCTACAGCCCTTCTCAGACATCTCATTTCCGTGGTGACTAATTTTCTTTTATGGTTTGTTGTGAGTGACCATGTCTGGCACTGGTAGCACAGAGTTGGAATAAATATGCTTTGAAAAAGATGTCTCTTTGTGCTGATTGGGATTGTCTTATGCTGTAAGAGGGGGGCTAGCTGTCCCAATACTTGGTTTGCTTTACTGCATCTAATGTCAATTTCTTTATCCAATTTCCCATCTTCAGTAAATGTAGTTCCCAGATATTTAAACTCAGATGCCTGTTTAATGCCTTTGTATTCTATTGCTATGTTTAGATCTGTCTTCTTTTTTCCTATTGACATTACTTCTGTCTTTTCAGTGTTGATTCTCATATTATTTGTTTTACATTCTTCATTCATGGATGTTAGATGTTGTTGCAATTTCATGGCTGTATCTGCTATCAAGGCCTGGTCATCTGCAAAGAGTAATTCGTTGATCTTACTAAGATCTTCATTCATGGGCTTGGCATTCTTGCAAATACTGTCGATGTAGGTGATAAACAGCAGTGCTGATAAGACACACCCCTGTCTTACTCCAGATGTCACTGTGAAAGGATGAGATGTTCCCTGATTTATTCTAACTACACTTCTACAATCGCTGTATAAACTTTTGCACACTTCGATGAGGTGTTCGCTCACTCCATATCTTGCCATTATTTTCCATAATAATTGTCTGTCGACTCTGTCAAATGCCTTCTCCTGGTCTACAAATGCCACAAATAAGTTCTTATTGTATTCAATGTTCTTTTCTATAAACTGTTTAAGTGTGAAGATTGCATCTGTGCAGCTTCTATTTCTCCTAAATCCCATATGTTCTTCTGCCAGCTGTGGTTCTATCACTGGTCTCAGTCTTGTTTCTATTATCTTGGCATACATTTTGCCAACATGGCTTAAAAGAGAGATGCCTCGATATTGACAGCATTCTCGTTTGCTTCCTTTGTTCTTCCACAATGGTATAACTATTGCATGTTGCCAATCAATAGGGGCCGTTTGTTGTACCCATGCTGCATTGAATATTCTGTGAAGCCATCTGATGCTGCTTTCACCTGCTGCTTGAATTATTTATGTTGGTAATCTATCAGCTCCTGGTGCTTTATATTTGGGAGACTGTTTAATGACTTTTTCTATTTCATCCATTAGTATGTGTGGTTCTAACACTGTTGCTTTGTGCTATTCATTTGTTCTTTTCTGATGATCTCCTAGAGGATTAAAGATCTCATTGAAGTATTCCCTCCATCTTTCTGCTATCTCGGGTGGATCTATCAATGGCCTTCCTGTCTTATCATTAATTTATTTTTCTCTTATTTTAATAAATGTATCTTTTCACTTGTATTCTGTGAGCTATGAACTTTATGTGTTTCCTGTTCTGATAATATAGCACTCTTGTCTAGACACAAAAATAATATGTCTTATGTTTTAAAAAAAATAATTAGCATAAACATGTTTACAAACCTGGAGCTTTGTAGTGCAGTGGCTAGATGCTTGTCTGCCAGCAGAGGTCTTGAGTTTGAATCTGCATTTGAGCATATTTTTTTTTAAAATAAAATAGCTTAGGCTCTCAGGTCAACCCTGCCTAAAATGGATACCAGGAAATATCTAGGGAAGTAAAGGTGAACAGTATTATTTTGACCACATCACTCATTGTATACTGACTGATCTAAACAAACAAAAAATGTGCAAGCACCAAGTGCCCACATTTGCTGTGGCGTAAGCAAGATTTTTCTTTGTCTTGTACCTTTTTTCTTTTTTTAATTTCCTTTCCAAATCAGCTTGAGAGAGACACAAAACCACCTGTTGGTATCAAGTATCTGTATGAGCACTATGACAGCTGTCCATCTCACATGGAAGGCTCTCAGACCAAGTTTGTAGAAGCTGAGAATGTCACTGTCAGGTACTTTCTGCCACCTGGGAGATACCTTGCTGTTGTGTTTTTGGACAAGCCAAACACAGAGAAGCCATTCTGCATTGTTTTCAGAGCTTCAACACATGTTGCTGTCAAGTGAGTATACACTTCTAACTTCTACAAGCTTTATTTTTGTACATTTTACTTGTTTCAGTGTGTTTGTTGATAATCACATTGAGATATATTGATTAGCGCTCACATACACAAAGAAAAAAAGTAGAGTTAGGAGCACACTAGATGTTTAGTGCATACTTCCTTATCTAAGTAAAAGTTAGAAATAGGAGCATAACAGTTGTCGTGTGTACCCTTCTGTATCTACATTATTTCATATGCATTTCAGTTTCAGTCAAAGCATTTTGTTGCTCATGCAGTTTCAGTAGTCGCGAGGGTTACCTGTTGTTTATTTCTTAGAATATTTTAATAACTTCTAAATTTATTCAAATTCTATATCATTATCTTTCCCACACAAAAATACAGTGTTTATACAAAACTTTGGATTTGGAAGGGATTCTGAAATTGCCACATTTCTGATTGGTAATCAGAGATTTCAAGCTTGCTGAAAATATAGTCTTGTAAACTAGCTTGTTGATAAAGAGTGTATTTTGTGCTGTTTATGTGAGACAGACCCAAAATGACTTTCTAAATTTAAGCTTATTCATTTTAAAACAAAGATGATTATAGCATAAGATTTAGCATATTTAGCATCAAAAGTTAATCTTGAAATATGTATCAAGATGATGATGACCACTCTTTTTCATCCAGTATGAGTACGAAGATGACTGATGAGGCCAATGCGGGCCCAAAAAGTTCTTGGACAATGAAGACATAGAAAGAGTGTTGTGCCAGGGAGGGGGATCTCCTGCAGTCACCTTTCTGTCCATCCCTTTCCTAGTCAGTCTTGCTATTCTGTTTTCTTCACATGTAGCCACACCCTTGTGTAGAGTAGAAGACATGAGAAGCAGCAGATCATGCAGATGTCACACTGAAGTCAGCTTGTGTTGGTAACATGTCCAGCATCTCTAAAATCACACAACACACTACACAGTATAAATACAATGTGTAAAAATACAATGTTAAAGAACCGCAATAGCAGAAGAAATTTATACAGCTGATACATCTAAGTAATTTCTTATGGTTGATTACATTTCCAAGAAGACTTAAAACCATACTGTACCTTTTATTTTTTTCCAAGTATAATTTTACTTTCTTTGAGTCGTTTATAGCCAAAGCAAGGAATTATAACCAACTGCATCGTGTCATATGTGTTTTGGTGAGCAGTATTTTCACTACCTTCTCCTCTTCTTAGCATTCACCAGCTGTAAACTTAGGCAGAAAGTTTTCATTGTTCGTCCCCTTCTGTACTTTGGTCTTGTTTCAGAACTTGAGTTTTGTGTGTACATCAGTTTTTACACATCTGGCTCACCTGTATACAAAATGTTGGTTTCTTACCTCTCAAACAGATGAACTCTGATTTTGAAGGAAACACCTTAATTAGTCACTTTAAACAACATACTTGTTAGGCGAGTCTATCCTTTATGGTGGACCCTGGAACCCACTTGCGGAAGTGTTTTCTCTAAATCAATTATTCTATGTGTTGTCTTTAAAAAAATACATGTTAGGGTGACAAGTCATCATAATAAAAGGATGTTTAACTTTTTTTACGTATACAAATAAAATTGTTTTAAAACTGCCATTGATGACACATTCTTTTCTCCAGTGACATATACATTTTTTTTTCTTGTATATATTTAACAGGGGTTTCCAGACTGGATAAAAGTACAGTTTATTGCTATCTGGGACAACAGATTTCCATCTCTAAACTCTATAAACGAGTTACAATGACAGGAGAATAATTATCTTTCACATCTAAAACATGCTGAATTTTTGTTTGTTTTGTTTTACATAATCATTTGCACCATTATATAGTTGTCTGTTTTGTTTTAATTTGAATTATTAATTTATTAGTAAACATTTTTACCTGTTTAATTAATCTGTCACTATTTGAACAAGTAAAACATTAGAGATAAGCATATGGTGATCCCGGATGTCAACATAACCAGACATCTGACATCATAATTATCATGTGCATGAAAACTAATTCACTGTTAGTTTACTTAACATCAACTATTATTGACAAATTTAGAAAGATTCAATATTATTTACCTGTTATTTTTTTATTTCTATATTCATACTTTTGTCTTTCAAAGTTCTATAACTTTTTGATAATTGCTTGCTCAAAATTCTAAGATATTTCTTGTTTTAAGAATATATTTGACTGTCTTTCCCAAGGTTTTTCCCCCTTTACTGCTGACATTAGTCTTATTACTATTATCAACAGATTGTACAGCATTATTTCTTTACTGGAACCCCCTTTTTTTTTTAAACCATTACTTTTTTCTTATTTGTACATTTCAGTGATTCTGTCTCATCTTTTGCAATATGTGTTACTGATGCTGTCAGTGTTTTTAAGGGCAATACAGTATTTAAAATGTTACAGAAGTTTCTTTCTGTTGAAATTCATCTGCAATAAACACGTGCCATTCACAGCTCAAACACTAGATTTGTGTGATGTGTTGATCCACAAAGGAGGATGTTAGGGCAACTAGTGCATTATTTTTCATGTGCACAATATTTTTTTTAATTTGTTAATTTATCTTAATTCCTAAGGATAAAAAGGAAAACAGAGGAAAAGAGACTTTGATCAATTGTACATTAGACATATTTTGAGAAGGAAAGTAGAAAGAAAAGTTTAATTTATTAAATGTGAACTGGATTTACATTTACTGCACATTAGAACCACATGTTTATTGGTTTAACATTTCTCTGTAATTCATTTTGACAACCATAGTTATTTCTGAGGTGACTAATAAAAGGTTTAATTTGTGTCTAAATTTAATGGAATATAAAACTATACTCTCATTACTGCAATTGATTTTGTGCAAGTGATATAAATTAGGCCAAAATCATTTATAAAAGTGTTACTTTTGTTTGGTCTTATGGCTTAGTTCAAAGCAAGGCATGAAAGTGTGTTTAATAAATCATTCCACTATATATCAAGTTTTATGACTTTCTCAAACTATTTCTTTGAAGATTTATGTGGTGATATTTAAATTTTATATTAGTCCTGAAACATAATAGGAAATTCATGAAATTGTGTGCTAAAACACTCCACTTTTTATTTACATCACTGCCCTAATTTATTGGCTAATTATTTACATAATTTCTCGTTTGTAGGGTGAGTGAGTGACTTTCTACCCCACCAGGACATCACACAAGCGATAAACACCCGATGACACAGAGTGCCACCATATGGATGAGGATCACCGTGGAGAGGTCCCAGAAACCGCGTTCAGACATTTGGCCATTTTTATGGCCTGCCTATATTGCGGCCCCTGGCAAAAGCCAGGGTGGGGCTTCAAATAACAAAAAATTACGTCCTGAAAAGGACGTAAGAATTTTTATATGATTTCTCGTTTGTAGAGCTAGGGTCCATTATACTTATGGAAATACTGAATGGAAAAGTATGTGTTTAAATAAACAAATGCAAAAATTACGACACAAATTTATATCATTTAGATAAAAATATTAATTAAATGTTCCTCATTTGGTTGCAGGCAATACATTTGAAGGTGTTGCTTGCAACTAAATTATCAATTCAGTCAGTTACTACCTTTTTCTTGTTGTCTGTTTAGAAAGTTACAGTGTTTCTACTTTTTGCTTCCCTTTTGGGTGCTGCTAACATGGTGATGATAACTGTATTATTGGTGTTTCTTATTTCAGTGACTACCTATATGTAACAAAAAGTGTTTAGTTATTTATTCCTTCTGCCCCTTTTAGTTGCTATACAAATCCACTTAGTTACTGTTTTTATTTTAGCTCCACTTACATCAGCCTGAAGATGTTTTCTCCATTTACTTTGGCCTACAATGTCTTTATTATTACTGTAACTCTTATTAAACAAAACAGTTATTCGTTTAAAGTATCAGTTGCTTAAACCAAAAAAGTTAATGGTGATTGTCACGAGTAAAAAGGGGGGTTAATTACGAAGTCAACATTTTGTTATCTTTATTAATGTTTGCAACACTTTTGCACTCTCTATTATTGTTGAAAAGTTAATTTTTTTTAATGACATACAATGCTTATGAAAATTTATGAAAAATGTTTTTATTTCTAAATGTAAACAATCTTTACTACAAATTATTTTCTCATCAGCCTTGGTTTATAGTTTTAAGTGGATTTTTTTAAATACTAAATTTTTCAAAGTTAAGTAGTACATGTGTTTTAGAAAACATTTAGCACATATTTATAGATTTTGCACAATTATACGACTTTCAATTTACATTTGCTCAATTCACGCAATTCTTTGGTTTTTATATTTTATACTTTTTACTCATATACTGGGGATAACAATATATTTTTTAAAGTATATTTTGAAGTATACTGTGGTTTATTTACCGACTTTGGGAATGTAAATAAGTAATCTACTAGTAGACAGTTTTACAGCTGAAAAAGTATGTTTTATTTTTGTATACCATTTTAAATGTACTTCTATTGTCTCAGATATGTAGTAGACATCCATACTATGTTATAATGTTTTTTAACTTTTGTTTCCCAGTTGTTTAACTGACACTCTTGCTTGGCTCTACGTTTTTCATATGTATCTCAATAACATTATTTATTATTGGCTTCTGTGCACACCCCTTTAAAACCCCATTAAAATTTGCAACCTATATTTCAAACAAATCTATGCTACTATCGTGGTATGGGATGTCGCAGGTCAACCCAGCCTAGAATGGGTACCAGGATGGGCTGTCCTGGGAAAGTAAAGACAGCAAGCATAATGCTGACCACATTACCCACAGAGTGCTGATGGTCTGTAAAAATATGGGCGCTCTTCCCATATGCCCGATGTGCCTAAAGGCGTGGAAATGGATCTTTTACTTTACTTTACTATACTACTATCATTTAAATCCACATTCTTTAGTGACCACTGAAATTTAGACTCCCTTTTCACTCTTGTTTTATATGAACACTCTTCATTACTCCCATTTTTTTTTTAAACAAGCTTTCATAGCTGATCATCTGCTAATTTATGTTCATTGAATAGTTAGTTCCTTTTCTGTCTCATGTCTCATCTGCTGTTATTTGATGGCTATAGTAATGTACCTCTTTTGCACGTCTGTTTGACTCCAGCATTTCATCACTTCTTGTATGATGTTCCTCAACTTTCAAAATCATATTCTTTTCTGTGGTGCTTCCATTCATGTTGCATTCTGTCTTTGGGCAGGTCTGATACAATGGTCCTGAAATCTTATGCTATAATTATGGAAAACGTTATTTAATGCAGGTGGGTCTAGCTAGTCACACTCACCATTACCATGGGCTCAGAGTCCCATGCCTCCTCCTAGCACTATATAACACTGTCATCTGGAAAGACAGAAACATGCCAAAAACTGATTTTAATCACATGACTCATCAGTGCCAAAATGTCCGCCCTATTAAAGTACGCGGCTACCCTTTACCAAAAGTTGTTAAAAAAGGTCCCTTTGTATTTTTTGTAACTTGTCCTAATTATTGTGCACATTTATTATTTTTTCTTTAAAGAGAGGTTCCATGACTGTTTGTTTCACTAACACTTGTGTTTTTCATTTTCCAGCTCACTATACTTTCCATATTCTGTACCAGGTATAAAGGTTCTTTACTGCAGTTTCCAAAGCATACTTGATTGTCTTCAGCTAACCTAAGTGATATCTGCATATGCTGTTGGTATTATTGCTTGAGATAACCTTAGTGATTTCTGCTTATACCTGTGGTAGTTACTAAAAAACTGTCTGTACACTGTACACTGTTTATCTTTAAACCAGTTATCTTCTATCCGTAGTTTGATCTCTGACTGTCTGACTGCATCTGTTGTCAAATGATGGTAGCCTTGATTGTTACAAATTTGATTTGGGTAAAACCACTTGTTTCAAATAATCTTTCACCCAGTATCTTGGATTCATAGAGACAAAGCATATACACAGTTTGGATCATACATAAATATGGTGTGTGTCATTTGCACTTTTTTTTATCCCCACATATTTTGTAAGGTTCTTAATGCACACTTCACTAGATGCATACTTGCTGTATGCTTTGAATCTGTGTTAAGTTGCACATGTGCTTGTAACTTAGTTTTAAAAAGATTAAATGTATCATTTAGCTGTTATTTTTAATATTCTATTTTACACAGATGTATGTCTGTGTCATCTTCTTCTTCGTTGCATTCACTGGCTGCAAAATCCAGCAAACATTCCAGGTTATTTATCTACACGTAGACTTTGCTTTGGCCCAAGAAGTTTTGCATGCATATCTGTTTTACAGCTTCTGTTTGTTTTTATGCAGACTGCCTCTCAGGCAGATGCTTTCAGATTTTGAAGGAAACATCACTTATTAGCTGCTTTTTAGAACATGCTTGTTGTAGGTGGTGGTTGGGGGGGGGGGGGCAGTGGGTTTATTCTTGCTTTCCCTTAAATGGAGTCCCACATAGGGAGTGTGTCATTTTCTTTATCCCTTGTTTTCCAGATTTGCAATTAATTTACTTCTTCACACTCACCAGCTGTAAACTCTAGTGGACAATTGTTTTAGTTGCTATCTACTTCTTCACACTCACCAGCTGTAAACTCTGGTGGACAATTGTTTTAGTTGTTATCTACTTCTTCACACTCACCAGCTGTAAACTCTAGTAGTGGACGAGTTGTTTCTACTTTTTCACACTCACCAGCTGTTGTTTTATCT